TTTAATTTATTTTATTTTTTTATATATATATCAATCTTTTTGCTGAGTGGTTACAGATTGTAGTTGTCACTCTCTGTCCAAAGCAAACTGGAGGTAAACTTCACATGTTTCAGTGCCCCTATGAGGAGCGACAGCAGCTTGTGTGTGACAGATATGTTCTAGAAGATGGAGTGTTTTGAACAGGAAATCCTTGCTGTAATTATGTTCCCTCATTATTTGTATTTGGCTTGTCCTGTTTTCAAATGCTAAAAGTCACTGGAAGCAATCCCTTACTTTATTTTTTTTTCTCCTTATTAATTTGTTACGTGAAAATGACGTGTCTGGTTGAACAAGATAAAGTCGAAATCCACCTCCCCGCTTGTGTTTTCAGGTGACAGCCATCACCACCAGTGCAGAACACTGTGAACAGCAAATCACCTACAGCTGCCGCTTGTCCCGTCTGCTCAACACTCCAGGTAAAGGCTGAAGATGGCATCTTTATTCAACACTGACACAGAATGGTTGGGTTTCTTTTTTACCACATGGAGTTTGATGGGAATTTAATCCAACAGCATAACAAGGTTTTCTTGTGTTCGATTTCCAAGAGGAGGAAGTGACACAGAGATTTGTGGTGTTTCATAAAGAGTTTTTGAACTGCCTGAGAATTTTAAAACAGTGGGATATTGTTCTTTAATTTTTTTATTGGGGTTTTCTTTTTGTTATCAACTTACTCGTGTCAGTTTTAAAGCCGTTCTATTCATCATCGGACGTGTGTACAACTTGTTTTTTTCAACCGTATGTTTGAACTGCTTATTTCACTTTGAACTGTAGACAGTTTCTCAAAACACTTCAAGCCGGGACCTCCCTCTGTTCACCTTGAGGGGGTTTTGAGAAGATCACGGTAGTGGCTATCTTAGCCTCTTTTGGGGGTGTTCAAGCACCCCTAAATTTCAACGCTGCACCCCTGAAAAATTAAGAAACCATCATGAGGATTTTGTAACAAAGTTTAGTTCTCAAACGTTAGATTCACCAAAATATTGAATACATTTTGAAATAAATATGGAATAAATGCTGATGGTCTTAAACAGGTCAGTAAAATCTATGATTTTTTTTTTTTTTGCACGAGTCAGATCCTCAAAGCCGCCTGTCGATCAATCCAGTACGCTTGTCAGCAACTGACCAATCAACGATCTCAACTTGTCCCGAAGGTGAACGCTCCTCGCCTGCAGGAGCTCCACTCATTTTCCTCCGACAACTTTGTGAGGGTTTTGCATTACAAACACTTTGCAGTCAGAGGTTAATAGTTAAATTAAAGGTTAATGCTTACATCTAGTTTTCTATGTAGATATACTGTGTGTTGCAACTTCTGGTTCCATAAGTTTAGGCTTTGTTGGCAATAGTCCTATTTGTGACGAGCTCCTCGTTTACGGGCATACCACCCTGGACACGCCTGATCTTGAAAGCTAAGCAGGGTCAGGCCTGCTTAGTACTTGGATGGGAGTCCGCCTTGGAATACCAGTTGCTGTAAGCTTTTGCACTTCTCAAAAACCTCCCCATGGCCTGTTTTTTCAAGCTAAGAAGCATTGTCAGTACTGGGGGGTGAAGCACCCCTAAAGGTCAGATCCTAAAAACGCCCCTGGACCACGGTGACTCGAGGGGTTGAAATCAGCCCTCTGCTGTTGCACCTTCGCCCTGTGAAGTGAAGTGGTAACAGAGAAAGAAAAGTCGATATGTGAAAAGGAAATTCGGGTTTGCATCTTAAGGATATGATGTTGTGATGACATACTGTTGGCCATAATAGTCAAAAGCTGAAACAACAAAATACTTTTAAGAGAACATCAATGATGACACCAAGCAACTTTTCTTTTTGTTAAAAAATTTTGGTTAAACAAAAAGATTGAAAAACGGAGTTAACTTGTTGTGTTTGGGAAACGATGTGAGGGATATATCCATCACACAGTTAATGCACACTGCTCCACAACGCTCGCTTCGTTTCTGAAAGCTCATATTTATGCGGGATGTGGCTGCATCAATTAGTGATTTATGAACGGTCAGGGGCAGTTTAAAGACAAATTGGTCTCCGTAGCCATGTTGCAGAAATGTTCTGTGAAACCTTGTGGTACACAAGAAGTTCTTTAATTAGGACGTCTGAAAAAGGGCACAGAATTTGACAAGGACCGGTTAGGATCAGTACAACAACATCAAGACCAAGAGTGGTTCAAAAGTTTTATTGTCTTTAAACTAGCTCTGGTGGAGGTCTGGGACCTGGGCCGGGTCCAAACTGTCAAGACAGAAGTGTTGGTGAACTCGGCTTGGAGAAGAAAGTGCAGGGAGGTACTGAGTTCTTCACAAACCTTCTGTCTTGATGGTGTGACAGGTGCTATTGTCGCGTTGAAGCCGGTGACGTCACTCCAGCAGAGTGAGCAGCTGCAACGGAGCAGACAGAAGCTGTTGAGGTCCAGTACTGGGGCAATCCAGGTCCCTGATCCATGAGTCGTGGCAGGGGACATTCACAGGACAGCAGAGAGCAGAAGACTGAGCCAAATACGTGATCCGAAGTCATCGTCATTAGGGGGGTGCAGGGTCAGAACCGGTAGACAGAGAAGCAGGTGAAGAGAGGAGTCAAAGAAGAGGCTGAGGTTCGTGGCAAGGCAAGAGACAGGATACTTGATGCTGGACTTCTATTAAAAAAGGTTCGAGAATCTGGCGCTGACTGAGGGAAGACGGAGCTTAACAAGTGCATGGGACAGGGAGCATGAGCTTAATTGCAGAGTGAGGCGTGGAGCGGCGTGGAGCAGGATGATGGACAGGAGCTGGAAATGGCAGGAAAAACAATACAAGAAAACTAACGGCCAGGGCAGGAGAAGGGGGCAAAACTTGACAGAATGTGCTCATTCTGAGTGGATTAAATGTATTTGCATTAGATTTTTCAAGACAGTTTGACTGCACTGTTCTTGATTATGGCTGAGTGGTGTCTCGGTGTTAATCTGGTTTGGATAAGTTAAACTAAGAAGAATCTGTGCTGAGTCTATCTGGATTATTGAGCATAAGTTGAACTAGTTTGTGAAATTTTCTCAACTTGTGAAATTTGTCTTTGTTCTGTTACCCAAAGCAGGGTTTTTAAATTAGCGCACGGTCTGTGGGTGTACGTGTTTTTACCTTCTAGAATGGTTTTGGCTGTAATAAGCCACATTTTCAGAACGAGTAGCTCTGTGAGTGTGTCCTACCACTTTGGCACAGTGATAGGGCAGCTGACTTGGGACCAGAAAGTTGCAGGTTCGATTACTCATTATGCCCATATGTTGGGGTGTCCTTGAGCAAGGCACGTCATCCCCAACTGTTCCTCAGGCACTTTAATAGCTGCCTGCTGCTCCACTTGGGTGCACCTCATGTGTGATGGGTCAAATGCATACATTGATGACAATACATAGTAGAGTTGCATTTGGGTCTAATAAATCCAGCCTGGACCAGACCAAGCCCCAAGCCCGTTTTTTTTTTTTTTTCTGAACTTAACGGATTACTAGTAATTAGAGGGCTGAACCCAAAAAAAACCAAAAAAACAAAATTTAATTAAACTTTTACTGCTTTTGTAAGCAAATCAGTTTCCCATGATAGTTTTAAAAACATAATGAAAGGAAGCTATAAGATTTATTTTTATTAGCAAATCACCAAATGGATATTAACATACAAAACGAATAGCCTAAAAAAATCAACTCTAAAGATCGGCTATTACACAGATGACCAAAACTATTTTTAGAGCAAAATTATTTGTAAAATATAGAACAAGGCTAGTTTCAATGAACGCGCTGCTCGCTTCGGCTTTTGTAGATGTTGCCACTTCCTCCACCGCAGATGACAGCAGGTGTGGAGACGCACGCAGCCGGTGATCAGCTGATTGATCCATCCATTATCTTTACCCGCTTCTTCTTTTTTGGGTAGCGGGGGTCTCTGGTGCCCATGTCCAGCCATCACTGTGCGAAAGGTGGGGTACACCCTGGGTTAGAAATGACAGCTCTAATACATAGCACTTTCACTTTGGTCACGTTATGCTACAGAACTGAATGGAAGTTAGTCCAGCGTCCTAATAAGGACAGAAACACAAACTTGTGTGTGTGCGCTCAATGTTATTCACAGACCTGAGTGTTTTAAACTAAGAATAACAAGCATGCTGTCATTGTCAAATCCATTTTTCATTTTTCTTTTTCTTCTGGCTGAGATGCACTGCTCTCTGCACACACACCCAAACACACACTTGTATGTGTACTGTACAAGTGCATGTGTGTGTGACCGCCTTGACCCACCTTGGGGAACAGCTTCCCAAAGACAAAACACTCGTAGCAATTAAAGTGAATGAAATGAGACAAAGAGGGCAACGGAAGATTGCTGGATTTGTTAGTTGGACATCTGTAAAGTGGCTTGTTTATATATAATTGTGAGTTCCAAAACCTTATAGCTCTCCATATTTCTGAGGTCTCGCTCTTATTGCAGCTGAAAGTATAAAGTTAAATGGCAGGGTTTGAATGGGCTTACAGAGGAACCATTGGCCAGGGGGTTGGAGACTTTCTTTAATTTAAGAGGAGAGTCCCCACGAGGATAATAAGTGCTTGTGGTGCTTGTGCATATGATTGTGTCCATGGTCTTTGATTGACTGAGGAGGAATAAAGCAAAAGGTGGGGACTAATAGCTGGGTATTAGTGCAGCAGACCAAAACTTTGCAATTAGCTCCTCTGTACTGAAAGATGGCACCTACATCTACAAACTGTGCATGTGTGTAAAAACACACACATACACATACTCCGTTAATATGATTTTTTTTTCCTCTTTCCTAAGCTTAAAATGCCAGCCTACTCACCCCTCACTCCACTACACACATACACATCAGCCTTCATTAACTAGTTTACTCCTAATTCACTACAGGGAAAGTTGGGAAAATCCAATTACTAGTCGAGAATGACAGAAAAAGAAGGAGCAAGGAAATCATTTACCCAAAAATATGCTCCATAAATTACCTGTCAGCTTTCATCAAATTAGTGTGTCAACAGCATTTCCACTCTGAACCACGAGCAACATGCGAACAGCTGTACACGCATACACTTCTCCTTTCTTTCTGTCCAGATCTCATCTGTCAGACTGAGAGTGGCATTTTAAAGGCAAACGAACCATTAAATAAGAAATATAATCCACCACCAATGACTCCCCTGATTTAAAACACCAGCAGTAATTGCTCTAATTGACTACGCCTTTATCCTCACCTCTGTCACCCAATCTAGCTATTGTTATTTTCAAAAATCACATTCTTGGGTAAACACATCCACCATCAGCAAGCTCATTCTGTCCAGCTGATGGGAACATGAAATAACCAGAGCTCAGTGCTGATGTGTGCAGAGACTCACGCAAAAAGATGCAAGTAATATTTCATTTTTCTTCCATTTTGCCGTTTCATCTTTCCATCTCATCTTTTCCTCTCTCCACTGCT